AATGCTGTTTGGGTTGCCCCCTGCTCCCCTATTGTGTCCCAGGACCTGTCCTGGGTGATTGGCACAGTCCTGGGCTCGGTTGTCGGCCACCCAATGTGCGTCTAAGGTTTTACAAGTGTGGGCGCAGTCATGAAGCCCTGCACGCCAATGGCTGGTGTTGTTTGGGTGTTTACCTGTTGCTGGCATCTCTGAGCACTTCCCATAGCTTGGTGGGGACCTTTGTCAGGTGGCTCGCCAACCAAGCAAACCCTGGCACCTCCCTGCAGCCCCAGCAGACCCAGGCACTGGGATCGAGGGAGCTGGAAGCGGCAGGTCTAACCCCTGAATGCCCCGCTCTGCGAATCAAACACAACCAACCACGGACCTTCGCTCAAGAAGCTTCTAAGGGTTGTCTTAAAGCAAGCCAAAAAGCATGGGTAGGAGGGTGCTGGATCATATGTGCACGGCTTTATTACAAACAAAATGTGCTCAAACCTGTCTCTGTGGCCACTGAGAGGCTGCAATCAAGTTCTCTCAGCCAGACACCTGTCCCAGCCTCACTAGGGAGCTCTCAACAACAAAGAAAGCTCCATCCAAATGGGAGCTTCTGTGGAGATCTCTTGGGTCAGATAAATTCAGGGCAGAGAAGTCCCTTCAGAAGGTTTCTTGTGGTGGGTTTTCTCTAAGGGTATGGGGCTAATTAGGAAAAGTTTCAAGAAAATCGACACCCAGCATTTGGTGAGAAAAAGGTGCATTGTGCCCAGGATTTCCCCATCACGACCAGGGACCTGCTCATTCTTTGAGGGGGAGTAAGGGAGGCTGTCCTGGGACAATTCCGTTGGGAAAGCTTACCCCACCCTGCAACCCTGATCCTGCCCCTTCAGACTGCTTTTTTTTCAAAACTCAAAGAGCAGTGAAAGAGCACAGTTTGAGTGCCCTGAGGATACCAAAACTGCTGTTTCCACATGGCAAAGAGAAATCCCAAAGTGCAGCTTTCTCCAGGAAAAGGTGAGAGAGAGGAAACACCACCCTCGGAAGTGTGCCGAGACCTAGCCGGAGATAATGTCAAGAGTGATCAGCTGCACCGTCGGATGTCTTGCATCATAAAGGTTCGATGATTGTGTCGCGTGCTTCCTGCTAGCTCCCCACCTTTCATAGGGACCCGCATTATCACAGGAGGAAATCTTGAGGTGCAGAGACTATTCTGTGACTCCAGAGAGGGAAACACTTGTTCAGCGTGACCCCCAAAATGGAGATTCTCACCTACATATTAAAATGAAAAACTCAGTTTACCAAAAGAGACAACAACATGGTAAGCCACTTGAATATAGAAGACATCTGTAGTATTGATAACAGTCCACAAGATCTGGTTCTTGGTAAAGGATTGCTATGAATCAATGAAAAGGATAAATCTATTAAAAATTACAACGAATAGAAATCAATAAAAATTTCCGTACAAAATTTAACACCCAAAGAAGCAGGCTTGGAAGGCAAGGCCAGGCAGGGCAAGAAGGAAGGTGAGAGGGAAAATTTTTTTTTTCTCAAAAGAATAAGTATTTGTGACTAGTACATCTATGAAAATGAATTAATTAATATTGATGAAAATTAAAATCTAGTGACCCAGATCAAACCAAATTCACTTCCATTGCCTCAATGCCGACATCAAGGTAGGACAGGGTAAAACTGTGAGTTTCTGAGACCAACTCTTTATGGGTGTAGAAAGCCAGGTATTTTTCCTGGCTGGTGGTTTCAAACTGCTGACCTGACAGTTAGCAGCCCAACATGTAACCACTACACCACCAGAGCTGTTCAGAAAACCCAAGGAAATGCTTATAAGATCCCAAGGAATCTACAAAACAGAGACCACAATGTACTAATGAGTAGGTTTAGCAAGTCACAGGATACAAAGTACACACACACACACACACACACACACAATCACATTTCTATCTGCTAGCGACTGAACAGTTAGAAAAGGAAAAATAATTTAAGGGATCATGGCTCCCTGGTAGACCATTAAGTTTGTGTTGGGCTGCTAACCACAAGGTCAGAAGTTCAAAACCACCAGCTGCTCCTGTTAAGCCTTGCAGCCTCAGAAACCCACAGAGGCAGGTCCATCCTGTTCAAAGGGTCTCTCTGAGTCAGAATTGACTCGATGGCAGCAAGTTTGGTTTGGTTTTATGATGGCCCCTCCCAAATGAAAGCCGTAGGTGTAAAATACAACATGTATGCAGGTTCTAGGTGCTCAAAACTACTGGGTCCTGGTGAGAAGAAGTCAAAGTTGACCTTCATGGAGGGACTCACTACAGTGTTCATGGATTGGATACGTCAACAGAGTCAAGATGTAAACTCTCCCACACTAGGTCTCTAGATGCAACACAATGCTGATCACAACCCCGCAGGCTGCTGTGTAGACCTTGACAAGCTGATTCTAACGTGCAGCTTAGAGTCGGGGAGGGGCTCAGCTTGTCTCTTGAGTTGGTAAGAGCTCTGTGAAATGGCTCAGAAGTGAGGCACCGATGCTGGTAACTCTCAATTACTTGAGATTGAGAGAATGTGTTAAAATCTGACCACCCGGTGCCCCCAAACCTTAAGCCCAGAGCCCTCCTCATCAGCCCCAATCATCAGGGACCTGAAAGTCCAGCGAGCAGAATGAGTGTATTGCTCTATAAGGACTGAATTCCCATGGAGACGTTATGTGTCATGGGAACAGAAAGAATATCATCATCGTCCTTGGAGGCTCCGTGTCCACCCATCTCCAAGCTGCCTCCTTTTCCCTCACAGTGAGGTCCTTGGTCAGCAAGACTGGAAATGCGAAGCCAATAAGAATTTGTGGGCCAGATTTTGTACCCGCTGACTTTGAGGAGCTCGAGGGGCAGAGCCAGGACTGGGTGAGGCAAGTGCAGAGCTCACCTTGAAGTAAGTGATGTCCACCTTCAGAGCTGTGCAAATGCCAAGGGACATCCACGTCGAGATAGCCAGTGGCAGCCGGGTGCTTGGGCCAGGGTTCCGCAAAGGAAATGAGCTGGCTGTGGGTGGCTGGGCTCACCCACCCATGTGGTGCTTATTAAATGCTCATGAGAGCCCACCAGGGCTGTGATCACGTCCCAAGGAGGCCCCTGGAAAGAGGAGCTCAGAAAGTCTGAGCCAAACAGCAAAGTCACGTGGTGCTGACACCAGCCCCTGCCCCCACCCCCCTCCGGCTGTCTGCTGGACATGCCACCCAATGGACAGTTGCTTCCTTTCCTGGCATCACCAAACCAAAAAACCAAACCCACTGGCAATGAGTGGATGCTGACTCCACAACCCTCTAGGGCAGGGTAGAACTGCCCCCTGTGAGTTTCCAAGACTGAAACTCTTCACAGGTAGAAAGCTCCATCTGTCTCCCAAGGAGTGGCTTGTGGTCTTGAACTGCTGACCTTGTCATTAGCAGCCCAATGCATAACCACGTGGCTGCAAACCCAGCCCCAGAGCAGACAGAGCCAGAGGCAGGAGAGCAAAATAAGAGACCAGTTTGGTTTCTCCAACACGGAGAGTGAGGAGCTGGACAGAGTTGAGAGGTGATCAAACTGCAATCTCACTGCCCAGATGGTGACCCCTTGGGGCTCCAAGCTAATGCCCGCAGGGCCAGGCAGGCACTGCCAGTTGGGAAAAGGATAAGGTGACCAGATTTTAACATTGGTAAAGCGGTACAAAAGCAGGACACCATTGATAAAACTCATATCCTGGCGAAATAGCCGCATGGCAGCTGAAAAACGTATACCCTAGCTTGTCGTGCATTCTTTCCAAAAATTGGGACTTTTTAAAAACGCCGTGGGGTGCAGGGAAAATTGTTAAAAATCAGGATTTTCCTGCCAAAAGCGGGACATCTGGTCACCTCAGAAAAGGATCATGTTGTATTGAGAAGCATCTGAGCCAGTGACCACACCACACAGTGGTGCCAGCCTGGGAAGACTGCAGGGTGGGGTCCCCAGAGGACTCCAGGCCCTTTCTGAAACAACTCGATCCCACCTAGTACGCCCTAGACATGGGTTTACAGTGGCCACAACTATGAAGCCCTGGTGGCCTAGTGGTTATGTGTTGGGCTGCAATTTGCCTGGTCTGTAGTTCAAATCCAACAGCAGCTCCTTGGGAGAGACTGGACTTTCTAGTCCCTCAAACAGTGAGTCCTAGAAACCCACAGCAGGTCCCAATGACTCGATGGCAGTGAGTTTTTGAGGGAATGGCCACAACTAGAGATTTCTTAAAACATGCCTGAAACCTGGCTATTTTTTTTCATGTGAAATATCCTGTTTTAAATGCTGCCATTTTGTTCAGAAAGGTTAAAGAAACACTGTTTGGGCCAAGAACAAATTCTGTCGGCAGGATCTGGCCTAGAGTCTTTCTGTCTGTAACCTCCGTGTGCATCCCTCGAATCCTCCAGCAACAACGACGTGATGTGACTGATCAAGCCGATGCAGGTCCCTGGGGATCCCCTGCGTTCTTGGGGAGAACTGAGCTCGACAGGGCTGTTGGAGTTGTTGCTGGTTTTGTTTTCTTATCATCTTTAAAAAGCCGAGTGCGAGGTCTTTCGGCTGCAGTGCCTCTGTGTGGGTTCCACTCTGACCTTTTGATTGGCAAGCCTCCCAGACCAGCCCCGCTGTCATGGCATTGTTTCCAAGTCGATTCGTGCCCCTAGCGCCCCTGGAGGACAGAGCAGAAGTGCCCCTGTGGGTTTCTGGGACCGCAGCGCCCATGAAGAGGCTGGCGGGTTTACCTGCTCACTGTGCGATGTGTAACTCACGCCACCACGGGGCCCCTAGGATGGGAAGCCGAGTGCAAACCATGGACGCCACCGCACTTTCCGACGGTCGCACCTGACGTGAGTCAGAGAGCAAGGTTTCTTTTCCAGCCTCCCTCTAGGTTCCCGCGTCCCCTCAATGGAAAGACTTTTAACCAGAGACGGGGAGAACAGAGGTGCCCGGCCAAAGGAAGCCCGCTCCTCCCAAGTCATGAACTAGCTTCTATCTCTTCTCTTCCAGGTATTTGGGTGCTGGGTCTGGATCCTGGTAGCCGCCACCCACGTCGGGCAACCTCTGCTGCAAGGATGGGTGATATACGTCTCACTCACCTCCTTCCTCATCTCGCTGGTGTTCCTGCTGTCTTACTTGTTTGGGTTTTACAAAAAATTTAGCTCCTGGAGAGTCCTGGTAAGAACCCAATGGGCTGTCTCCTGGACTGATGCCCCGAGGGGGGTGGGGCAGGAGGAAGTGTGTGTGTGTGTGTGTGTGTGTGTGTGTGTGTGTGTGGTGTGTACAACTGTCCTTCCTGGGTGGGGTGGGAGAACCAGCCACCCTTCTAGGACTAAGCCCATAGGGAGTCAGATAGTTTGATTCTACTGTTGTGTCGAATATTGACCCAAATCAAAGCCTCCCTCTGCCAGAGCCACCTTTCCACGTATCCCTCCCTCCACTGCCTTCCTTGAGTGAAGGTACACGGATCCGGCACATTCTCACATGACCCCCTAGTTTGCCTGTGGAGACGTCATTGGAGCAACACTGAAAATAATGCTGTAGATTCTACAGCGGTTCTCAACCTGTGGGTCCCGACCCCTTTGGGGGTCGAAGGATCCTTTCACAGGGGTCGCCCGATGCATACAGTAGCAACATGACAGTGACGAAGCAGCGACGACAATGGTGTTATGGTTGGGGGGTCACCACCACATGAGGAACTGTATGAGAGGGTCGCCCCGCATGAGGAAGGTTGAGAACCGCTGCTGTAGAAGAAGAACCAGCCTACCCCAGGGCCCTGTCTCCTTCTCCGGCTTCATTCTCCCATCTGT